CTAACGAAAACTCACTTGGCCTCACCCAGATAGAAACTGTCCTACCAGTTTGTCCTCTCTGCACACGTAACTGAAGAATCAGGAGCCGTGTATTTTGATTGGTCTTGCGCATATATAAATGAAGGATTGGGAACAGTGTCTTCTAAGAGTTCTTTAAACAGTGCTGGATTCAAATGAAGGATTAGGAACAGTGCTCAGGAGCCTGAGCCTGGAGTCATTTTGGGTCCCAGGTTCTGCGCACCTCTCCTCTTTTTTAGAAAACATCTCACTTAACCATTTAGCTGTGAGTTACTATGACTTCTGACACATTCCACCAGGTTGGTAGTCTGCTTTGTCCCAGCCCTGATCTCCTACCTCACAGCAGGGATCTGAGTAAGGCCTTATAGGTGAGGAGATCTTGCTTGCCGCGACCTGGTACAGATGGTCTTTGATCTTACAGTTCAGTCAACACTAGCAAGAGCACCCAAAGAAGGGTTGCAAAGGGGCATTCTCTAAAGCTCAGTTCCTTCCTAGATTCCACACTCAGCGCACCATTGTCCTCCCAAGTTCCACGTCCTGACATCTGAAAAGGAGATAGGTAGATTGCAGGGTTTTCAGTCAAGTGGTCTAATGAGTGGGAGAGATGGTCTGGGCTTTGCTTGGTCTGGACAGCTTTGGGAACATGACTCAATATAGTCCCACAAATTCAAAAGAATCTAATGGTTTTCAAAAAGAGACACCCTCTACCAATGGTTCTGTAAGTATTTACTGAGTCCCCAGCTTCATCTGTGCCAAGCCCTGGGGAACAGAGCGATCAGCAGAGCAGTCAGTCATCTCAAAAAGCTCAAGCATCTGAGGAGGATGCAGCTGAGTAAACAGCTGTCCCATGTCCCACCCCCCCAGAGGCATTACCATGACAGCTGCCAGCCGGCTGTGGGGCCTGAGGCAGCCACTTAACCTCTCTGAGCTTGCTTTCCTCATCTGTGAATGAAGATCATCACAGTGGCCCTCTCCTGAGGATGGTGTGAGGATTAAATGAATGAACACGTAGAAGTACTTTGAAGCACGCAAGAAACACAGAGCTATAGAAGGGTGTCTTTCTGTGGCGGTGATGTTACTTTTATTGGGGTGGTTACCAGTGGGAAAATCCTCCCTAACTCCAGCCCTCCTGCACCAGAAAGCCCTCCCAGAGGACGCTACTCATCCAAGTATTGACAAAGCAGGCTGAAAAGATGGGGAAGGGAAGGAGAGAGAATGGGATGAGAGAACGGGGCACAGAGGCACAAGTGTGGGGGGCCAGCCAGTGTGGGAGCGGAGATCAGCACCATTGTGTTGTGGAAATGATTTGGAAGACAACGCAAAGAGTTAAGGACAGATAAGAATTCTAATGTAGCATGCTAGGGAATCTGGACTTCTAAAAATCAATTTACAGAAAAAAAGTGTTTCTAGAAATTTCTACAGTGTTTCTTATGCTGGCAAAGTTTAACTGAACAAGGAAATCAAGAAAAATCCACTAGAGCCGGGAATTTAGCTCAGTGGTCCTTGCCTGCCTCGCAAGTGCAAGGTCCCGAGTTTGATCCCTGGTATCAAAAAAAAAAAAAAGAAAGAAAAGAAAAATGTACTTGATAACCATGTTCTGCTAAGAAGAATGGAGAAAGAAAATGGAATGTCCCACACACACTGGACCTAACTATAAACCCTAGGTTTGCACTGACAATGACTGATTTCCTGTAGTTTCTTTTCTCAGAATTTAGAGTGCTTCCCCTCTACACACATGACATGATGACAACCTGCCTTCTTAGTGATGTTTAAGGTTATGGCAGAGTCTCCTACAGGCCTCCAATGTCCTTCCTGTCTGAGCCCTGTCCTTTAATTCTGGTGGACACCATTCCCTGACCAGCTGGGAACTCAGGGTTGTGGTAAATCCTGATGAGCTTAAACCATTTGTGCAATTCTACCCCTCTTCCTATTGACTGGCTGAGGTAGGATGAACACTTAATACAGTTCTGGGTCAAGACACAAGAACCCAAGAGGCTTCTGGGAAAGTTTTCCTCTCTCTGAAAAAGAAACACAATAGCCCAGCCTCTTTTTCCCCCACATGCTGTGTTGTTGGTGTGTGACACCTGGACCCTATAGCATCTAACACAATGCCTTACACGGTTATAAGGTTTTTCTTCCTGTTGAAAATTGAAGATTTAGGCCCGGGGATTTAGCTCAGTGGTTCCGCCGCCTGCCTTGAAAGCAGAAGGACCTGAGTTCGACCCCCAGTACCAAAAAAAAAAGAAAATTGAAGATTTATAGCAATTTCTTAGTAATAAATAGGGTGGTTATCATCCTTTTTATAGATTAGGAAGCTGAAAGAGATGAGCTGGCATTATCCTAGGCCCAAACAATGAGCAGGAATAGACCTAGTTATTATAAATAATAATGTTTCTATAATACCAGGATGCATCTTTTTAATCTTACCAAACACAGACCAAAAAGTATTGGACCATAAAGGTTTGCTTCTGTACCCAGAAACAAAGGAAGATTATGAAGGTGAACTAAATAGTTATGTTGGATTAAAATGCCTTTCTACATTTTATAATACAGTTAAGCCACTGGGATTGCTTGGTGATCACGTTGCTCATATTTTTTCATCTGAATGATTAAAAACTGCATCTGCACGATATGTTGTCTCTCCAACTAGACATAAATAATCTTTCTGACGGCCCTTGAAAAAAGCTTCCTTGTAGCAAATAACTGGTTCTTAACCTGCTTCTTGATCATTGACATGTCCTAATGTGCTTTTGCTTTCCAATATTTTCCATCTCGTCATTCCTGTGACAGTTAGAGGTAACGTAGAAAGTCAGCCTATTTTTCCACCCAAAATGATTTATATGTCTACTATATATAAAACACAGTGGTACAGATATGGAAATCCACAGAAGAGAAAAAAATGAAGAAACATTAAACAACAGAATACTGAGGACGCCTTAGCGTCTTTTAACCTACAAATAGTGGGGAAGAAAAATTCTTACAGTACAAACAGGCTTGTGTGGAGGAAGTACCCACATAGAGGAAGAGCGGCTTGCCATTACTTCTCTCTGGGAATAGTCACTATACATAGGCAAATTTTAATGACTATATTAGGTTTGGGGGAGATCTGGGTACTTTTAATCTCAAATCACCCATAAAGCCTGAAGTATTTGCAAGTTTATTCAGAAAATAGACACAGTTCCTGCATAATGTCTGCATAGTTCCTTCAGAAACAGAGACCCAAGAGCCTGAGTCTAGCACTTTGGAATAACGAGTGTGTGTGTGTGTACACGTGCATTGCCAACCAGCCAGTGAAGGAATCTAAGGAATTTACTGAACGGTCTGGGGAGCGGGACTAGCCAAGCTCCTGGTTCCTCCGAGGTCAGCCCTCCCACCAAATCTACTACTTGAACTTTCCCACATATTCATCTTGGCAAACGCCCGCATTGTGACTTGATGAGGCTTCTAAAGCTACTAGCATCCAAGGGAATATTGTTACATAGGAATACGTTCTGGAGAGCTGGAAAAAACCCTCCAAATATTTGGAAGGCGGCCTTTGAATTAAGTGACTTTTCCTGCTGGTGGCAACTATTAAGAGTACTATGAAAAAGTTAAGGCTGTAGGAATCTATATGAAGGGAGGTGGAACCATCATTTATCTTGATATGGACTCCAGCAGACTTGTGAGGACTGCATCCTTCTGGTTGCCCCTGGAGCTCTGCTAGAGCCCATGTAATCCAGAGTGGAAGATGAACCCTGGTTTAGAGAGGCTCGGACTGGAAGGAAGGGAGCAGTGGTCCAGGATCTGAGTGTGTTTGGAAGTTCTAGAAGGAATGAGGTCACCTGGAACATACAGAACTGCTATAAAAGTGGCTCCAGATGGCTTTCCCAGTGTGTTCTCTACTCCCAAGGGAGCCAGTTCTCATCACCTAATGGCTCTCTGTGTGATGCTTGACAGTATTCGGCCCCTCCATCTCCCCAGGATACCAGCAACCTTCTCTTTTGTCTGCAGTAAAGTTATCATTGCTCACAGTTAGCCTCCCCCCTCAACATACACCAACACACGCACTCAAGGCAGGACTTTCAGTTTGAGCTTGTGATATTTTAAGCCCTGGAAAAAAAAATAGAGAAATCTTACCAAGTTAAGGAAGTGTACTCCCAGACACTGCGTTTGAAAACATCCAACCCGATTACTCAGTCCTCTAGATCACTGGGTTTCTCTTCCCCCATCCCTCCTCATAGCATATGAACCAGAGTGCATCTGGATTCTCACGAGGATAACAGGTTTAATTTAGCTCTTAAAACTCTTCCTAACAAGTTGTCTAATATTGTGACCATGAGGTTTTTTCTTCTCCTTTAACCAGTTACAAAAATACTCGTTTGTTTATTTCTCCTACATTTTTGATCTGGATCCCTATAATTTTCATTTGTCTCAGTCTCTGACATTTTTTGGAAAACTAATTCAGAGTGAAAAGAAAAATAAGGCAAACACGGCTCATCCTCCAGCTCTCAGTCTCTGTGCTATAGCAGGAAATGCATTTCTGACACTTCTAAAATGAGCAATCACATGTATAATCAACTTGGTTAAAACTTCCTTCCTGGTAACTGCAATACCTCCTCTGCATCTGGATACAAAGGGAGCCCCAGAAAAGCAGAAGAACTGAGAGGCACCCTGGGTAGGTCTGAATTTTTGTTTTCAGAAATTAAACAAATGATCCTTCAGCATCATCGCCTCCACTGCTCTCTCAGGTATTGCCTCCTTCTATTTCTGCCCTTTGTTGGGTCTGTCTCGGAACAGTGACACCTCCTTCCCAGCTAGCATATTTTTATCTCCAACTGTTGCTGGTTCTCAATACGGTCTGACCACTGAATGTCTGTGTTTCCTTGTCTATTCCAGCCAAGACTGTGGCTATCCACGGTGTTCCGGCAATAGTTCCTGCAGGTGCATCAGTTCTTTTTTGTTTTTGTTTGGGAGGAAGAGGGAGGGCCTAGACTCAGGCTTTGTAGTCTTACAAGTGCACACTTAGAAATTACTGTACTTAGGGTGGTTCTAACGTCTTTTCATAAAAGGAGAACGAAGCATAGAGTCGACCATGAAGGAAACCAGTGAGTATTTGCTCAGCCTGTTTTCTTCTGCATCTTGTATTTTACATGATTGTTTGGTGTCAAGGAGGCAGATATCCTTGTATATTTGTGTACTGCCTCACTTTGAACATATTTTATTTCAACTCAGTGTCAATATCAATGTATCTTAGAGTTCTCTTCTTGTTAGTTACCCTATAATGTAGCAAAAGAGCAAAGTGAATGTTTTAAGCTGCAAGAGACAGTTGTTTGGGACAGTTGGTTTCATGTACTTACTAAGTATAACTTCATCATGTTTTAAGAGAAGAAATATTAACTTTAAAAAGAAGTTAAGCCAAGATTTAAACGTAAGTTTAGACCTAATGAAACTTGTCTTTACTAGATTATAATGAAACTCTGTTTTTTAGTATCTAGTAAATGTTCCACTATTTCTTAGGGGACTAAATAATAATGACCATCATTAACATTAGTTATTTAAGAGAATAAATGATATTTTCTAAAACATTAACTTTGTTTCAACAGTTGACTGTTATTTAGAATATATTACAATGTGGTGATACTAAATATTAAAATAAAAATCTTAGTATTCACCTTCCAATTTTAATAATTTTTGCATTTCAATCATTATTTGAAGTGTGTCAGGTGTATATTTAAATGCTTTGTGCAAGGGAGGTACTTATTAAACATTTGCATAAAGAGTAGATAAGTTAGTGAGAACAAATGTGAATTTTTTATGTAGCGATGAAATACTGGAGCAAGAAAGAAGGTAAATAATAGGGGTGGGCCAGGGAGTTACCTCAGTGGCACCGCGCCTGCCTCGCAAGCACAAGGTCCTGAGTTCGATCCCCTAAATAAATAAATAATAGTTAGGGGTATAAAATAATAGATCACTGGAGTCCAGAAAGTTTTCCCTCCATTCTGTAGGTCCTCCACTGAGGCAGAAGCAGATTTAACCAGATTTAAATGAATTGCTTAAAGTTAAAATTAGCTAGATGCTCATATTAGGAGAGGACAGCCTTGCCTGTCTTCTCTTAGATACTGCCCTAACATAGCAATGACAGCTAGAATATTTACACATTGCACAATTCAAAATTTTATATATCTTTAAATAGTCTTATTTGCAAATGTATCAGTTCTGGTATTTTGGAGTTTTACGAATGAAATGACTAGCTTTCTTAAGTAGAAAAAAATGAAAAGAAAAAAAAAAGACAGGAAGTTGACTAGTGAGTAGATCCAAACAGTTTGAAAATAGAGAATGTGAAGCGTAGTTGGGTAAAGTGTCTGGTTAGAGAAGAAGTGTGAGAATGAGCAAAGGAAATAAATTAACGTTTGTTTTCAAAGTGAGATGCTTCTCATGTTATATCTTCTAAACAAGGACTTGATCCTTAACTATAGTATTTCACTCATCTATGGGTTCAGTACATGCTTGAGAACAGTTACCATCTTGGGCCATATCAGGCACAATGCTAGGTGAGTGTCTTACTTGTCCTAGCAGATCCCTTACCCCCTCTCCCCCAGTACTGGGGATTGAATCCAGGGCCTTCACACTGAGCTCATTCATCCCCAGCCCATTTTTTTTTTCTGAGACAGGATCTTGCCAAGTTATTAAATTGGGCTCTAACTTTCAATCTTCCTGCCTCAGGCTCCCAGAGTGCTGGGAATACAGACAAGCGCCATCATGCCCAACTTCTTTTTTTATTATTATTATTATTATCATTATTATTATTATTATTAAAATTTTCAAGCACATACAAAAGTCCAGTCAACAATGACCCCCATAAACCCACTGCCCATACAAGCCAGTATACTGCCTTTTTAAACCTCTACCTCCACCCTCTGAGGTATCACCAACTAATCTGACAGATAAGAAATGGGAACAGAGGTCAAACAGCCCAAGTCACCGAGACAAATAGTAAAAGATGGGCCAAGGTGCAGGTGCCTGGACCCCAAAGCCTGACTCCTACCTGCTGTCCCGCTTCAGCTCCAAGCACTTGGTCCCCCCTGGGTCCCTTCGTGCAGGTCAGTCTAGGACATCTCTTCTGCCATCTTGCAGGAAGACACAAAAGGAAAGGCCTTCTGTGACAAAGCTCTCTGCTTCTCCGCTGCCAGGTCTCCCGGGGCATGGAGCTGGAGAACTCTGAGCCTCCTGTGATCCTGAGGGAGGACAACCTCCGCCGGCGTCGGAGGATGAAGCCGCGCAGCGCGGCCTCCAGCCTGTCCTCCACAGAGCTCGTACCCATTGAGTTCGTGCTGCCCACCAGCCAGCGCCACAGCAAGACCCCTGAAACCGTGCTGCTGCACGTGGCGGGCCACGGCAACGTGGAGCAGATGAAAGCCCAGGTGTGGTTTCGCGCGCTGGAGACCAGCGCAGCAGCCGACTTCTACCACCGCCTGGGCCCGGACCACTTCCTCCTGCTGTACCAGAAGAAGGGCCAGTGGTATGAGATCTACGATAAGTACCAGGTGGTGCAGACCTTGGACTGCCTGCAATATTGGAAGGTGCTGCACCAGAGCCCCGGGCAGATCCACCTGGTGCAGCGGCACGCCCCCTCGGAGGAGACGCTGGCCTTCCAGCGGCAGCTCACGGCGCTCATTGGCTACGACGTCACGGACGTCAGCAACGTGCACGACGACGAGCTGGAGTCCGCGCGCCGCCGGCTGGTGACGCCGCGCATGGCCGAGGTGGCCAGCCGCGACGCCAGGCTCTACTCTATGCACCCCTGGGTGACATCCAAGCCCCTCCCGGAGTACCTGTCCAAGAAGATCACCAACAACTGTATCTTCATCGTCATCCACCGCAGCACTACCAGCCAGACCATCAAGGTCTCGGCTGACGACACCCCCGCCAGCATCCTCCAGAGCTTCTTCGCCAAGATGGCCAGGAAGAAGTCGCTAATGGACATCCCCGAGAGCCAGAGCGAGCAGGACTTCGTGCTGCGCGTCTGCGGCCGGGATGAATACCTGGTGGGGGACACCCCCATCAAAAACTTCCAGTGGTTGAGGCACTGCCTCAAAAATGGAGAAGAGATCCACCTGGTGCTGGACACGCCCCCGGACCCAGCCTTGGACGAGGTAAGGAAAGAGGAGTGGCCCCTCGTGGATGACTGCACGGGTGTCACCGGCTACCATGAGCAGCTGACCATCCACGGCAAGGACCACGAGAGCGTGTTCACCGTGTCCTTGTGGGACTGTGACCGGAACTTCAGGGTCAAGATCAGAGGCATCGACATCCCCGTCCTGCCCCGGAACGCGGACCTCACAGTTTTTGTGGAAGCCAACATCCAGCATGGGCAGCAGGTCCTTTGCCAACGGCGAACCAGTGCCAAACCCTTCACAGAGGAGGTGCTCTGGAACGTGTGGCTTGAGTTCAGCATCAAAATCAAGGACTTGCCCAAGGGGGCTCTGCTGAACCTCGAGATCTACTGCGGCAAAGCTCCGGGGCAGTCGGGCAAGTCCCCTGCAGAAACCCCCGGCTCCGAATCCAGGGGCAAAGCTCAGCTTCTCTACTACGTGAACCTGCTGCTGATAGACCACCGCTTCCTCCTGCGACACGGGGAGTACGTGCTGCACATGTGGCAGATACCCGGGAAGGGAGAAGACCAAGGGAGCTTCAATGCGGACAAGCTCACCTCCGCAACTAACCCAGACAAGGAGAACTCAATGTCCATCTCCATCCTTCTGGACAATTACTGTCACCCAATAGCACTCCCTAAGCATCAGCCCACCCCTGACCCTGAAGGGGACCGAGTGCGAGCCGAAATGCCCAACCAGCTTCGAAAGCAACTGGAAGAGATCATAGCTACTGATCCACTCAATCCTCTCACAGCAGAGGACAAAGAACTGCTCTGGCACTTTAGATATGAAAGCCTGAAGCACCCAAAAGCATATCCTAAGCTGTTCAGCTCAGTGAAGTGGGGAGAGCAAGAAACAGTGGCCAAAACATACCAACTGTTAGCCAGGAGGGAGATCTGGGATCAGAGTGCTTTGGATGTTGGGTTAACGATGCAACTTCTGGACTGCAACTTTTCAGATGAAAACGTCAGAGCCATTGCAGTTCAGAAGCTGGAGAGCTTGGAGGACGATGATGTTTTGCATTACCTTCTGCAGCTGGTGCAGGTAAAGGGTTGTGTCAGCAACAGAACCATCCCTTATTTATTTAAAGGAATGTATTTGCATGCACACAGGCACCCCGTTCAGTCCTCATCATATACTCTTTCTTCTCTGCTTCCTGCATATCAGAATAGATCTGATGACGCCCCCCAGAAACATAGTAAACTCTTCCATTTACTTTCTTACTTTGAGGGTTTGCTGATGAGCATTTTAAATACTTCAGTGCTGTACTTTGCTTTTTAAGAGAATTGTCTCAGAGAATACTTTGTTCTCATTATTTCAGTGATAGATTGAGCTGATCAGATGCTTCCTTGTGCCAGGGTTCCAAGTGATTTACATGCTTTTTGTTTATTATCTCATTTAACTCTCCCAACCAGTAAATTAGCATTTCCAGATTGTACCTAAGGAAATTTAGGCATAAAAAGGCTAAGTCATACATTCAAGGGCACACACTTTGAAAGAAGCAGACAAGAATTCAAACATAGATCTGACTCCAGGCCCGGCCCTTTACCTGCCCCCAGATATCCTACATCAATCTGGTGTCAGGATAACATGGGCTTAATTACTTTATGCCTGTGTCTATTACAGTTTATAGAATAGCATCTCATGTCTGGCTGGAATTTTGAAAACTCCTTGCTCTAGAAAGGAACGGAACTGTATTTCCACTAGGGTTCCGTGACACTCCCTGGGGTCCCAAGATGCTAAGTGATGTACCTGAGGTTTAGCTAGAAACTTAAGGAACCAAGAAGTAGCAGTTCTCCTGCACCCTAATGCAGTCCTCAAATGATATTATATTGCTTGACAAGGAGAAGGAAGTAAAGGAATTAGAATAACAATGTGATTTTACAGCACAGACCTGATTGTTTATTCATTGGCATGTACTAAAAAGACTGACATTAAATGAGTACACACACACAAACGCGCGTTTAATAACAAATGGTGACAAGTGCTTTAGGGAAGGCTATAGAGTATTCTGAGAAAACAGAGGGCCAGGGACACTTAATTTTAATTGAGGGACCCAGAGACAATTCTGAGTAGGTGATGTTTGGCCTGAGGTCTTTAGAATTAACCAGGCTGAATTTTAGAAGCCAAACTATATTTATAGGAAGTCCCTGCAGTTTTCCAATAAGCATTTTGGATATTAACTTTGAATCTTCACCTTCCCATTAGCTAGATACTTGAAGTATTAAATCTAGCTTTCACTTTTACCTATGAAATATATCCAATATTGTTTTCTGCCCACTAGTTCAGATACTGGTTTGACATTAAAAACATTCAGAATAATTAAAGAATCTGCAGTTTTCTCGCTCTCTATAACAAAACCAACATAAAGCAAATTTGCATCAGCTCTGTTTCAGATCCCAAGGCTACGATAAATTATTTCTCATTGTCATTTTTACAAGTAAACTTTGCAAAATTAGAAGATAAATAGTGCTCTTCTTGGAAATGTTTCAAGTGAAAGAGGTCAATAAGTTATATTAACAGTGAACTGTGGTCTTAAATTTGAAGCAGAGTAGTCATTTATAAAATGACTTGAGACATTCTCAGATATAACTAAATGACTCATTCTTGATGAAAATGGTCTCCCAGTTGAATTCTGCACTGTCTTTACAGAAGTGAAACATGAAGGTCAGAAAGAGTCACATTTGGGTTAAAAACTTAAAACATATTTAAAGTGAGTACTGGTGACCAAATAACCACACTCTCGGAATTAAGGCCTTAGATACAGCTATAAATGGCACGTATGTGACCACACCCATAAAAAGCATGCTGAATAGCGTGGGTATAATTGAAACATTAAGAACTCAGTGTTCATTTCCAAGCTGGAAAACCAAAGTAAGCACTGCAAATCATATCAAGAAGACCCCAAATCCCAAAATATAAACGAGGATGGAAATGTGTCCTGTTCTTGAGAAAACTGGATAAACTCTTTCTATTTATAAAAGGAAGATTCTAAGATATTTGATTTTAAGCCATTCTTCAGGTTTATACATGACACCTACCCTGTAAATTTATTTATTATTGCTTAGTTTTGTTGTTAGATGTCTACTGTCTGTTTTCTTTGTGACACCTTTTTGACCTCCCGCTTTATGGATCTGTTATAGTCATCTCCATCTTTCCCCTTACTCTTCCAATAAATCAAATCATCCCTTAATAGGAGAAAATGCCCTCCGCTCTGCACCTCTAAAGTTCCCAACAGCACATGATTGTGAATCCAGAGTTCTGGCCTCTAAGATCCCAGTGCTGTCTTCAGCTACTCTGTGATCATAAGCAAGTGCTTCACTCTGGTCCTACGTGCATTCTGAGAAAAAAGGTTGAGTGTGATTGCTAAGTCTCATCACACTGGCCATAAGGACCCACGCGAGGAGAACCCCGGTTCTTTCCGAGTCCTTCTTCCTGATTTACCCACACCGAAGGCAGTCCTACAATGCCCTGTGTTTTTCCTTAGGCTGTGAAATTTGAACCCTACCATGACAGTGCCCTGGCCAGGTTTCTGCTGAAGCGCGGCTTAAGAGTAAGTACTTCTGTTTTGATAATAGCATGACATTTGAGGTCACCAGGGGGTGTCTGAGAGACCCACCACATGGCATTCGTCATAATAATTTCAACCTTCTTGTACCCACCTCAGAACAAAAGAATCGGTCACTTCTTGTTTTGGTTCTTGAGAAGTGAGATAGCACAGTCCAGACACTATCAGCAGAGGTTTGCCGTCATCCTGGAAGCCTATCTGAGGGGCTGTGGCACCGCCATGCTGCAGGACTTGGCCCAGCAGGTCCACGTCATTGAGATGCTGCAAAGGGTCACCATTGACATCAAATCCCTCTCTGCTGAGAAGTACGACGTCAGTGCCCAGGGTACGGGGCCGCATTTCCTTGGTCCTCTTTCCAAATGCCATCACTGTTATGATTCTTCCTTCAGGAAGCCAAGTTGTATCTTCCTAAAGGCAGCCAAGAACACATGTTTTAGTCTCTTGTGTGCATGGAGCAAGCAGATTTACAGTTCTCCTTCTGCAAGTTAATGATTTTTGTAGAATTATATATTTTTAATAATGAAGTATGATCATAAATATTAAGCTCTTTGAAAAATTAAAAACCACTATGTAGATTTCAGATGCCATCTTTAAGGACAGCTTGACACACAGAGACCAGTGATTTCCAAATCTGTTCCTTTTTCTTCCCATCTGTGAATATGTACACATAGTTTTCAAATTTTCAGTCCCTTAAAGTAATAAATTACTGAGAGGCTATGTTAAATTTTTTGCATCTCTTCATATACATCTATATCCCAGAGTAATATATATGTACATATATTACTTTTACACACACACACACATGCACACACACAGATGCTCTTCCTCATTATCATCATCCTGTCCCTGTCCTAGGAAAATTAATCTCTCCTCTAGTGCCATAAGTTTAAATTGAAACTACATTAAATTATAGTCATTAGCACACCTTTCTGGCCAGACACACTGTTTGAACCTTGAAGCGAGGAATATTTTTTACTCACTTCCACATACCTATTCCCACTACTGTGGCTCACAATCAACACAATGTACCCAGCCAGTGTTTTAAACTTCTGAATATTTAAAATTTCTACTTTTCCCCTTTGATTTTTCTCTAGTACATAAATAATGCTGTCTCCTAAAAATAATAATAGCAGTAATTTTACATTTGTACTGACCTCCATTGTGTTAGCCAGGAAGTAATTTTTATTTTATGTATTTTGCCTTTAGAATTTTGAGGATGTTATACCTTCTGTGCACATTGTAACTTCCTCTTTTGAAAGAAACTTACAGAACCCTAACCAACCTTTATTCAGTTTTGTTTTTAAATCAGGCAGCCGTTCAGAGTTTCACATGTTGGGGGAAAAAACTACAGTTATTAATTCCTTAGCATTACCTTCAAAACATCCTCTTTCTCTGGCTGTGTGATATCTGTCCATCATCCCATATTTTTATCCCCTGTTGAGGGTCGCATACACCGTTATGTTGTTTACAGTAAGCCAGACTCATCTTGCCACTTCAAAATGCTAGTTTCCCCTTTTCTGCTGCTCCACCCCAGACCAAACATGTTGAATGCAAATGACTATAGCCTCCGGATACGTTGTAGATAATGTTGGGAATTTCTTGAACTGACAGAATTGTGTGCTTTTGACAATTGCAGTTATTTCACAGCTTAAGCAAAAGCTTGAAAACCTACAGAATTCGAATCTCCCAAAGAGCTTTAGAGTTCCATATGATCCTGGACTGAAAGCAGGAACTCTGGTGGTAGGTATCACTTGGCTGTCCCCATGCGGTCTTTATGTATTGTAAGGGTCTAGCATGCTCTCCAGGGCGCCACCTCCAGAGATAGAAAGTCACAGAAGGCAGAAAAGGCAGAGTCCCTGGGCAGGTTCTGTCAAGCCTTTCTCTGATCACCAGTCCTGAAAGCCTCAGCTCCAAGCAATTTCCTTTCTATTTTGTTTAACAGCTTACTGACATATCCTTTATGTACAGTAAAAAATGCCCATTTCAAATGTACAAGTCAATAAGTTTTGACAAATGTATGTTGCCGTATAACTACCAAGGTACAGAACATTTTTCTAGAAGTGTTACCAAAAAAGGCTTCTCGAGTCACAGAGCAACTGACGACATTATGTGTGGGTCTAGACTTGGGTTCTCTATCCTGTTCCACTGGTCCGAGTGTCTCAACCCAACCCCACACACTCTTGATTAGGCCCAAATAACAAGCCACTGTGTGTACATGAAAGAATCTTGCAACAGATCCATTAAGCTCCTCTTGTCCTTTGTACTGTTTTTGGCAGACTTTTGACTTCTGTATATGTTATAAACCTCACAACACACTGTTAATATTTTTGCTTTAAACAAAGATACGTTTAACAGACTTATTAAGTCTGTCTTGAGCCATTTAAAAATATTTACCCCCATATTTGCCATTTTTGGTACTCTTCATTGCTTGGTACAGGCCCAGGTTTCATCTGGCATTGCTTTCCTTTGACTTTTAACATTTTATACTGCAAGTCTGCTGACAATAAATGATTTCAGCATTTGTTTATCTGAAAAACTTTTCATTACACTTTCCTTTTTTGAAAAATGTTTTCACTAATTATAGGATTCTAGATTGACTAGTTTTGTTATTTTGTTTTGTTTTCAGTAGCATTCTCTTCTGGCCTGTATATTTTCTATGCTAAGCCTCTGTCCTTTTTATCTTTGATTCTCTCTACATAATGTGTCAATTTTCTTTAGGCTTCTTTTACAAGTTTCTTTTATCACTGGTTTTCAGCAAATTGATTGTGATGGGTCTTAGTGTGGGTTTTTTGTTTGGTTTGGTTTGAGTTTTTGTTTTGTTTTGTTTTGTTTTTGTCTGCCAAGGTCTATTGAGCTTCTTGGACTTATAGATTTATAGTCTATCATATTTGGAAATTGTTCAGCCAATATTTTTCCTGTCTTCTCTTTCCTCTCATCTTTCTGAGATGTCATCAGTTACTGTATTTCAGACTGGGACCACAGGCTCAGTCTAGGTCTCCGTTCTCTGTCCTCCAGCCTAGCAACAGCCCCCCAGAGTAAACTGAGGCAATCCCAGGGCTCCCTTGATTGGTCCCCCTTCTCCCAGGGTCACAGAACTCCACTGCCTGTCTGTTGCCCAGCATCTGAAGAGAGTTGCTTTGTATATCTTGCCAAGTTCTGTTTGTGGCATAAGAAAACATAACTCTTAAAACACTTAAAGCTCATGGAAAGAAAGGAAAGCTTCTCCTTTTATGTTTAATTTAACATACAATTACCAGTATATGGGCTCTATAGCAAAAGCACATGTTATGCACTGTCCTTTATTTAGCTATTAGTAGGAAATAGGACACATCAATACAGCTTTCAAATTGTGTTTGCTTTGTTTAAAGACCACATCACATTTTCAACCCATAGTGAATTCATCTTTGGCTAAAATGTCTAAGGTTTTGAGTGACTGCTAAGCCACATTTCCCCTATTTTAAATTTTTTAGATTATGGGGGGGGTGCTTTAGGAAGAAGGTTGTACTTGAGTGCCAGACTTTCCATTTATTTCTGTTAAATCTCATCTTGTTTGATTTGCATCTAATTCTGCAATGATTGCTCCTTACCTGTGGTAGCACCGTAACTCATTTTACAAATAAAATTTTAGGGAGAGGCTAAATATTTAAATAGACATTGGTGAAGGTGCTCTGAATTGGAGGGGATGGGGCTATCCAGGTCCCGTGGGGATCGTCAGGGTGAGATCTCCCACACCTCTTGGCATCGCCATAGACCCTTAGGGCTCCTTGGAGTACAGTTTGAGAACGCTGGTTGAAGGATTGGGAATTTGCCGTCACATAGCATTTCCAGATTTAGTGAGAACACCTTGTATATTTTTACCCAAATATGAAAAACTATTTTCCATCTAGGACTCTTTGTCCTAGTGGTAATGATGCTTTACAAGAGGATTTGTGTCTCCACAACGTGTATTCGTCAGATGCAGGCAACATGGACCCATTTCCTTTCAGATTGAGAAGTGTAAAGTGATGGCCTCTAAGAAGAAGCCCCTGTGGCTGGAATTTAAATGTGCTGACCCCACCGCTCTATCCAATGAGACAATTGGAATTATCTTTAAACACGGAGATGATCTGCGCCAAGACATGCTTATCTTACAGGTACGCGGATGTGAAGGAACTGTTTCAGTTATCTGAAAAAAGAATTCTTTTGGAGGGATTCTTTTATAAATTTTATTTTATTTTATCCCATTCCCCCCCAAAGCCCCTCCCCCCCTTTGTACAAAAGCAAAAGCTTTGTTTCCTTTTTCCCTTCTATTTTCACTTTTTTTCTTGTCCCCTCCTTCCTTTCTCCTGCCCTCCTCCCTTGTTCCCCTTCCCATCTGAACACTTTCTTCCCATTTCCCAACATCCATCATACATCTCAGTCCTTATTTCCACATTCAGTTTCTCACACCAGAGAAACGATGCAGTATTTAATTGTGTATGTCTGATTTATTTCACTTGAGAGTATGATCTCAAGGTCCATCCATTTAGCTATAAATGTCTGAAGCTCATTCTTCTTTATGGCAGAGTAGTACTCCATTGTATAAAAAACCCACACCTTCTTCAGTTGATGGGCCTTTGGGCTCTTTCCAAGATTTTGCTATTACAAACTGTGCTGCTATAAACATGGGTGCACATATATCGTTGTGGTGTAATGTTTTTAATTCTTTCAGGAAGATAATCAAGAAGAGGTATAGCTGGGTCAAAAGGAACCTCTGGTTTTTGTTCTTTGAGAAATCTCCACACTGATTTCCACAGTCGACACTCCCACCAGCAGTGGAGCAGTGTTCCTTTTTCCCCACAGCCCCTCCAGCACTTGTTATTGGTTGATTTCTTGATAGCAGCCATCCTTTCTGGAATGAGATGGAATCTCAGTGTTATTTTAATTTGCATCTCTCGAATGACCAGTGATGTTGAGCATTTTTTCATATATTTATTTCCCATTTCTATTTCTTTATCTGATAAGTGTCTTTTTATTTCAGATGCCCATTTTTGCACTGGGTCTTTAAATTTGAGGGGTTTGATTTTTTTGAGATCTTTGTGTAATTCTAGATAATAGTCCTTTATCTAAATAGCTGGTAAAAAATTTTTCCCACTCTATGGGTTGTCTCTTTGCCCTTTTTGTGGTTTCTCTTGCTGTGCAAAATCTTTTTAATAAGATGAGGTCCCAGTTGTTGATTCTTTGTAGTATTTCTCATGCGGTCTGAATTTTGTTCATGAAGTCTTTGCCTACTCCTATGTCCTCAAGCGTTCTACCTACTCTCTCTTCCAGTACATTTAGTGTTTCTATTTTAATATTTAGACCTTTGATCCGTTTCAATTTTAGGTTAGTGTGTGGTGAAAGATATGGGTCTAGTTTCAATCTTTCTCATGTGGAAAGCCAGTTTTTCCAGCACTATTTATTAAAGAGACTCTTTCTTCCAGTGAAGGTGTTTGGCTCCTTTGTCAAAGATAGGATGGCTAAGTACATCTGTAGTTGTTTCTGCATCCTCTAGTCTGTTGCATTGATCCTCAGATCTTTTCTTTTGCCACTACCGTGTTTGTTTGTTTTTTATCATGGTAGCTTTGTAGTATAATTTAAAGTCAGGGATTGTGATAACCTCTGCTTTGCCTTTGTTGCCCAGAATTGCCTTTGCTATTCTAGGTCTCTTCTGGTTCCAAATGAATTTTAGAATTGTTTTTTTCTAATTCTGTGAGATATGCTGTTGCGATTTCCTGAAACAAGAATTCTGTATTAGATCTAAAACATGTTTCCCACCAATTGTATTCCCATTTTCTTCTTTTCTCTCATAAACAGTAGTCATATATTGCCTAATACAGAGTTTTCATTTAGAGAATATGGCTGTGGATCATAGATGTGCAATCTAACCCATATCACAGTTCTGTTCATCCATCAAAGATGCATATCTAGCATTTCCAAGAAACAAGATCCACTCCCTCACCTAACGTCTTTTTATACACCTCATTCTGAGCGTGGTAACATAGACTACAGCTATATTTACATCGAGAATCCAATTTATTCCTGTTAATAGACATATACTACTCACCCACAGCCATTCTCCTTAGATACATCCTCTGATACATTCACAGATACACACACACACACACACACACACACACACACGCACGCGAGCAAACTCAAGCCCATGATTGGATGCGGAGAGAAAAACTGGACCCATAGATCATTGGAGCAATTGCATAGCTAAGTGATGAGTGTGAACATGTTACTAGGGCAGAAGATGAACAGAGAAGGTACCAATGCTAATCATTTTCATAGTTTTTCACACCTGTGTATATACTTTTTATCTGTTGTTTATTGGTGCATTTTAGGTATACATTATGATCACATTCATCATTGGGAGTTTGTACCTGCACGTGGTGTATCTTGGTTCTGTTTTTTCCCATTCCCTGCCCTCCTTTCCACCCCTCAACGCCTCCCTATTCACAAAAGACTGTTTCTCTTCTTTCCTTCTTTAAAAGAAAGGAAAGAAGAGAGAAAAATGGGGAAAAAATAGATTTTTAAAATATTTTTAAATCTGTATAAACTTTAAATTCACAAATATGTAAAGCAATATTCTCCAGATTCTAGTTTCTCAACGTTGTGGAGGTAACAGTTTCTTAAATTTAATGCGGTTAATTTAAAGTAGACAAACCATATTGACCTAAAGGTAGGCTATTTAAAAACTGGTTGTGTTTTCAAATCTCTCTAAGATTCGGTCTTTACTTATTTGTACTATGAAAACAATAATACCCTCACTTTGCTTTCTTTGCAAGAATAGTATGTTTATCGTCCAAGAATTATTTTTCAAAAGAAAAAACAATCATCAATCTTTTGTTAGATTTACTCAATTTCAAACAAATATGTAGAACCTTTTGAATTGTTCAAAGATGAGGATTTGAAAAACACAGAAGTTGTTCTGTTATTCCTCTAAATTTGAGGTAAAATTTGCACTTATCCTTTATGTACTTTGCTTTATTGTTCAGACTCTTAGTTTGAAACTAAGGTAAGTTATATAAGCTCTCTAAGCTTTTATTTCTTTATCTGATGAACATGAATAGTAATCATGTTCCCAGTATAAAGCCAATGCAAAGATCACATATAAAAGAACACTCAGTAAATGTAAGCTATTATTATCATCATTGTAGTTACTGCTGCTTTGGTTGTAGCCTAAAAGTGTCTTATGGATTCTAGAGTAGTAAATATATGAAAAGATGGTAGAGTGATTGTGGGGAAATATCCATAATGGAGTGGAGTATTTTGAACAAATAGGTAATGAAACATGTTTAAAATATACCTCAAAAGAAATCCATTTATCTGCTCCCCTAAACTCCATTTCAAGGACTGAAATTAAGAGGCTTGCAATGATGAGTAACTTTTGAACACCAAATTGATTAATAAAAGTTCAGTTGTTACCTTCCTCTTTTACATTTATTCATATATTTTGTGTTACCAGATAAGAATCCTATTTTTAAGGGAGAAGAAAAATGTATTAAATAAATATATATTTATAATAGAAATGTTTTTGTGTTTTGATGCTCAGATTCTACGAATCATGGAGTCCATTTGGGAGACTGAATCTTTGGATTTGTGCCTCCTGCCATATGGTTGCATTTCAACTGGGGACAAAATAGGTATGTGGTTACCTCAAGTCATGAATGTACCAGTCAGCTAGTTTTCAGAGATTATAATTCCTTTGGTATAGGCACTTAATAACTGAAAATTTAAAACTGTAATCCATATAAAAATGAGGAAAATGTTCCCAGGCTGATGAATGCAACTCTCAATTTAATATGGATGCATAGAAAATATATGCATGCATGATTCAAATCCTTATGACTGGGCATGGAAATAATTTTAGTAAGAAGTTGTTCCTTCTTCTTTATCCACCTCTAAACTCATTTCATTATACATTAAACCTTTCTCTTACAAATAACATTTAAAATTAAACAGAAAGATCTGTCACTTAATTTTAAATTCCAGAAGTCACATTATCAAAGCTATTACACACTCTACTCTTACGTACTTTTACAGGCATTTAACATTTTAGTTTCAATCAAACATATTTTTGTTCAGGTTTCTGATGTGAGAACTGTACAGAACCATTTTCTGTGATCCTGTAATTTAAATAAGGAAAGGGACAAATCAACTAAGCAAGGCTGTGCTCAGCACATACTTTCACTTAGCACTGCTCTAAGCAACCTTTCTTCTTCTTATTCAGGGATATTGCAAGAATGTCCCTTACAACATTCTTAAGATCTTCCTATTCTTTCTGTTCCACCTAAAAAAACAAAACAAAACAAATCAAAACACAACAGCAGTACAGACCGGGAAAATAGCCTCTGGTTCAAAACAAAATTAAAAAAAACAAAAAACAAAAAACCTTCTGCATTCCACTCAGAGACATAGCCATTCCTCCTCTGAGTGGGCCCCATCTCTAGTCTCCTTAAATTCTCTGCATCCTCACGTAGGAATGATAGAGATCGTGAAAGACGCCACCACCATTGCCAAAATTCAGCAAAGCACCGTGGGCAACACCGGCGCATTCAAAGATGAAGTCCTGAATCACTGGCTCAAAGAAAAATGCCCGATTGAAGAAAAGGTGAGCTCACACTTTCCCACATGACCCACGGTCCTTACAAGCTGCCCTTTACATAGCAGTAGTGCTCAGGTTTTCAGAGGACCTTCTGACGTCTTGCCTCCTGACAGATGGGTGAGGCCCTTTACTCAGGAGGGAGTGGGGATTTTATGGGCTTTCCCACAATGACACAGCGTCTGTGTGTACAACACAGGGGCTCAGTGCCAGACTCCACTAGCATTTGCTTCTCCTTTGATTAGCAGGTGCGCTTTGCATAGAATTTGGCTCTGTAAAATCTTCTCTTAGCACTTTTTATGGCTATTTTTGTTGCTCAGCACAAAGATTTAGTCACCATGTATAAATTCTTCCCTACTTGGGAAATACCACAAACTCAACAAAGTAATTTCTAATTTACCACTGTGCTGTAATCTGGATGGTAAATTACGGATGCTGAAAATGTCATCCTCTGAAGTGCATGTGCTGAATCCCTCACAAGCTGTGTGGTTAGGCTGTCTGACTGTCATTTAAATTTCTACTGCACACGATTAACACTTTGAATTTGCATGGTCAGCAGCCTTTTGAACAGGAAATATAATTAGCAGCACTTATTGCTCAGGTAAATATGCGGACTTGTGGGCCAGGGATTTAGCTCAGTGGGGCCGCTGCCTGCCTTCCAAGCACAAGATCCTTAGTTCAATCCCTGATACTAAAAAGAAAAAAAAAAATGTGGACTTGTGAACTCGGGCATACTCATAAGGGGTCACAAGCAAAACATGTCCAGCAATGAAGGAGAAATTGCTATGGGTTCTGTATAGTTGTGGGCAAGGATTCGTGGAGAGGAATTGAACCCTTCGATTAGTTTGCTGCTACCTATGACTTTTATGTCTGTGCTATCGTGATTCATTGAATCTTCACCTAAATATAACCAGAGCAATTAATAGGCACTTAATGGGTTTGTCACTTACGAAATCAAGCACAACTCACTTGCTGTCTGAAAACAGTTCCCAAAACAGTTGTTTTGTTTTGGTTTTTTTCTTTCTGGAAGTCATTGGTAATAAATTCATGCCGCTCTATGTGGTTAAAAAACCATTAATATTCAGATGCATTTTAATTAGTTTCAGGCAGCAGTGGAGAGATTTGTTTACTCCTGTGCAGGCTACTGTGTGGCAACCTTTGTTCTTGGAATAGGCGACAGGCACAACGACAATATTATGATCTCAGAGACAGGTGAGTTCATCTGTGGCTGGTAAGGTTTTTATTGTGGTAAAATACACAAAACACAAAATTTTCTAGCTTAACCATCCTGAAGTATGCAGTTCTTTAACATTAAGCGCATTCATCTTGGGCAACCATCACTACCATCCATGCATCCATCCATCCATGCATGGATCCATCCTCCCCATGTGAAACAGGCTGCATCCACATCGTTAAGCATTTCCCCTCATCCCCCATCCTCCCAGCACACAGTGATTTCCAAGGGGACTGCAAGGTCCTGAGCACGAATTTAAAAGCCATTTTTATCTAAGGACCCTAATGCTGTGATCGCTCTAGAAAGTTCCTTGAGGGATGAGGGGTATGTAAAAGGGAAGAAGAGACAGGAAATGATTTTTTTAAACTGCAAGTCAGGGAGAGTTAGAAAATAGGGCAGGGCATATCCTAGAAGTTAATGAAGGTAGGAGTGATCAATAATGTCAGATGATGTGGAGAAGCCAGAGACCCCCTTAAATCTGCAACATTTTGCTCCCTAATCTCCCCGCTTCACAGTGGCCAGTGGTAGCCACCACACCATGAGAAAATACACCAGAGTGAGGCAAACTGCTTAGTCCCTGTGAGAATAGGAATAGTATAAAAGAGACAGTGCATTTATGGAGCACTGTATTGCAGTGATAAATAGCTAAAAAGAGAGAAGAAATGATGTGGTGGTGGCAGTAGTGGTAGAAATTGACCCAAAGGAGATTCAGAATGATTCATTTTTATTGCAACTGGAGAGTAAAAGGTGAATGCCCCTCACGCAGGCAGAGAGCAACATGAGTCTGATCTGGGTTTCACCAAGGACATAAGAGAGTCTGAGGCGTAACACTGACATATTAGCCAGAGAGGTTTTTTTTGGTACCGGGGGATCAAACTCCAGTCCTTGCCCTTGTGGGGCAGGCGGCAGAACCACTGAGCTAAATCCCCGGCCCCCTAGTCTGTGAGTTTTGATTTATGCTTTTGAGAATAATTTTAAGGTCAAAATTTTTTAAAGGCTTTGGGTGTCATCTAAAGAACACCCGCAGGCTACCAAAAACATACTTGCTTCAAAGAATGCTTTGTGGCTACTACTTTCACACACCTGCTAAGATGGAAAATACTGAAAGTTAATAAACAGTGTAAAAAAATGCTCTGACCCAAGATAGCGCATTTTCAGGCAACTTAAGAATTACTTCAAGAAATAAAGTGTTATTAGAAGCACACATGGTAGTGTAATACTGTCAGGCATTTTCTTCTCTTCAGGTAACCTATTCCATATTGACTTTGGGCACATTCTTGGGAATTACAAAAGTTTCCTGGGCATTAATAAAGAGAGAGTGCCATTTGTGCTGACCCCAGACTTCTTGTTTGTGATGGGAACTTCCGGGAAGAAAACGAGTCTGCACTTCCAGAAATTTCAGGTACGTCCCCTCCTCTTCCTGGCCCCTGAGAATGCCCACCTGACAAGCGGTGTGTGCGACACCACCTCTCCCTCCACTCGAGGGCTGGTCTGGCCCCTGCCCTGACCCCTCCTGGCATAACCAGCCTCAGCCCCTCCCTTGCGCCTCTGTTCATGCCCCAAGTGTAAATGACGCTTCTCGGAAGTCCTCCTACCTAAAACCAAATGGCAGGAAAAGCACTCCATAAGTGATGGGGCTGGCGAACACAGAACACCAGGTTAATGCTGGTACTGAAGGGAGGGCTCTGAGGAAGGGCACCCGGTGAGAAGGTGGCCACTGGATAGTTATCTGTGCAACATGTTGAGCAGAAGACCCAAACTTCACACGTATTTTTCAGGGCTCTCACACAATTTTTAGCCTCACGTGGCTTTTGCTGCTTGTGTGAGTTTATTGCTTTGATAACAGAGAGGATCTGCTACACTGTCATGTGATTGTCTTGTTTTGGTAAAGGTTAGTCCCTCCTCTCACTGAAAATCTTGTCAGCTTGACCACAGATTTTACAAAGAACTCTGATTTGAGCTGGGCATAATAGTATATGCCAATAATCTCAGCACTCTGGGAGGCTGAGGCAGGAGGATCCCCAACTTCAAGCCCAGCCTCAGTGACTTTGTAACATAGTGAGACCCTGTCTCAAAAAATAAAAAGAGATGGGGATGTAGCTTAGTGTGAAGGCCCTGGGTTCAATCTCCAGTACTGCACACAAACAGAGGAGGGCCTTCTATCCTTCTTACCTGTAAACAAGATCCCACGAGTCTACCATTTCCCTGGGGGGTGTTCAGATTTGACTTATTTTTTCATTCCTGCCTGGTCCGTATTCAGTTTTGACTATCAAATATCTCAAATAGATGAGAACATTTTACACTTGCAAATTTAATAACTGTTAATACAATTCAGAAAAGTTGTAACTACACCTATTTTGTACCAATATAAACACAATACAGATATGAAAGTAATTACTTACATGGCCATTTGCCTGGGGTTCCCTTTAAATAACCGCCTGCCTTAGAGTGTCTTAAACATGGCTTGGTCTGCATCCACATCTCAGGGACAAGTCTTTTTCCCAAGTCTCCTCTTGAGTCCGATATGACCCTTGGGGGATGGTATGAGCCTTTAACTTGAGTAGAACAGGTACTCAGACTGATTGTTTTGTAACCAGTGTATTGTTTGTTCCCCTGGCTGGTTTGAGACTTGGTAATTACAAGACTCACCCTCCGAAAGTTCCAGTGGTGGTGTCAGAGAAACTGAGAGCTCTGTGGCCAGGTGGTCATAGGATTTTTTAGTGTGTGTTTGTGTGTGTGTGTGTGTGTGTGTGTGTGTGTTTCTGCATGTTTCTGCATCAACTCACTTGGGTTTCAGACTCTTTCCAGGGACTTGACACATTTCAGTCCTGTTTTTCTTAAAAGTTAAAAATTTTGACAACTTCCTGGAAGAGAAAAATAGTCTAAAAAAAAGAACTTGGAAGGATTTTGCCATTCAAAGGGGAGAAACACTCAGTTCTGCTCTCCTGAAAGTGAGGTTCATCTGATAAGCTCAGACAAACAGCAGCAATATACTAAGATTCAAAGGCAAGGGATTTGGGCTCACTGACTGATGCTTTCTTTCTGTGGATGTGCTCTCTTCCCTTTGCCTGTTGTTGTTCCAGAGGACACTGCTCATCTGTCCTGTCGCTGGGGATGTCCTGGGAGACCCCTGCAATGCTCACGTCTCCCTGTAAAATCCTAGCAGAGCTTCACTTCCAGTATCTGTGCTTCTGCTACTGGTATTATTATTTTTTCAGCTTCAAACATTCATTAATGAAAAGGTCTTTGGTTTGGGGAGGCCCAGGAGATGTTCCCTGCCCTACCGACATCTTCTACCCAAACCAGCCCATATGCAGGGAGCCTTTGCATATTCTGTCCTCTTGCTCTGACAGCATTTCTCCATCATTTGGCACCAAAGCTTTTCTCTCTGGCCATTGAAACCTCTTTCACTAGCGCAACTTCCAGGCAATGTGCACCACCAGAAACATACACCTTTGTGCACTCTGTCATACTTGTTTTGTATGCAGTAGGTGATCAAAAAATACAATGAATACTAAAACATCTTAACCCATTATAGTAAAAGACACACTACCAAGAACAAAAGGGCATGCGTTTTTGAAGCGAGGCAAGTAATTTAAATACATCAAAGGTGATAGTGGGAATGAGCCTTTCACTGCAATATATTCTTCCTGTAATAGTTTTTTAAGCCATCACCATATGTTAGATCACACCACATGTATCTATGGTTTGGAGGACCCGCCTGCATTTTCAGTGCCTGTGAATATGCCTGCACTGAGCCTTAAACACAGACAGAGCATGGCGTGGTAGTTGAAAAGACAGGCTTTGGAACACACATACTTGACTTTGAATCCTGGCCCTGCTGCTTAAAAACTGTGCATGTAATGAGAACTTCTTATCCCTTCATAACCTCTCTTCCTTCATCCTTACAGAGGGAATTAGACCCACCTTGTGTGGTTTTTCTAGGTACCACTTATTTATTATTTATTTATATTTATAAAGAAAAAAAGATTTATCGAGCCTGCTGGCCTGGAGGCTCCCATCCAAGATCAGGCAGCCCCAGGACTTTGGGCCTCTGGTGAGGGCACCCAGGGCACTGGCAGGAAGCACCTGTCGCAGCACACCCTGCTTCATCTCAGTGAGGAGCCAGCGCCCGGGATTGTTTACATGAACTATGCAGAATGCTGAGCCCAGCCCAGACTAGAGCAGAGACTCACCGCTGCTATATACATCACAGCGGGGCTTCAAACTCTGAAAACTTTTCAGAAGCCACTTTTGGAGCAAGGTCTCAGGCGATACATGAAACATGAGGAAGCAGCATGTTCTAGTTGGAGGGTGGTGGAATCTCACCTCTGCCTGGGTGCTTCTGCTCCCTTCTCCATCTCTCTCTCCAGGCCTTGCATCCTTTCTCCCCCACCCGCCCCCCCTCACAAGGAAAAGCTGAATACCACAGTGTAACTTATACACACGCAGAATTTCCAGCATTTCTGCTTGACAAAGATGGGCAACAAAATCTTCATCATTTAACTTTGACCTTAGACAAATTGTCTCTTCTTTTTTCCTTTTTTTTTAAATACTGTTAACCCAAGATTTTCTGTGTCTTAGTTTTATGTTTCCTTTCTAAAGTTCTTCAAGCACAGGGAGCACATCTCTAAATTCTCTCAACAGTGTCTCAGAATCTTGCATGTTTAGGCAAGCTGGGAAATGTATATATTTACATTTTGAATGAAAGATGTCCTCCTTTCTAATGAATTGCTAATTTTGACCTGAGGAAGGTAATTAACATATGCCATATATTTGAATAATTTGGGAGGAAAGGAGGAGAAAAGTTGACCCACTTCCACTAAGGGGGAGGTGAACATTCCCCATGAAGAATTAAAAGGCAGGTTGCCTAGTGGCTGGGGGTCAGAGGTCAGGGAACTGAAAGAGGAACACTGCTTTATTGGTTTCTGTCCTTCCCAGGGTAGATCCATCAGCCTGGCCATATCCACAAATAGGCCTAGAAGAGGGGAGAGTTCAGGAATGAACTCTAATTAGGCAGACACATAACAGAGGCCATGAGATGAACTTAGGAATATCTATTATTGTACAGAGCAGCATTTGACATATGGGGTGCTAAACATATATATTTTAATGATCACAATTTTGATACCTGAATTCTCAGGAAAATCTCCCTCTTACTGAAGATATTTAAAAAATAGTGTTTATCCCACTGGTAATTTGTTTTAGACCACTTTATTTTAAATTTCAAAGAACAGTTACAGATCATACATAACACAAATACATTTATATCAATGGCAAATGAAATTTGGCCTCTCATTTTAGTTTCATATACAAATATATTGGCTTTCTTTCTAAGTTTCAAAGTCATAAATGCTTTTTATTAAAAACAAAAGAGAGAAAAATATTTTAAGATATCAGAAAGTTATTGCTGTCAGCCTATCGGTGTTTACCTCCATTCCCTTAAGTAGTATTCAGCTTTTTTAAAGGTTATAGATTAATCAGAATTTGCTTAACAACTGAACTTAAGAAATAGATAGGATGGGGCCAGGGATTTGGCTCAGTGGCACCACGGCTGCCTCGCAAGGGCAAGGTCCTGAGTTCAATACCTGGTACCAAAAAACAAAACAAACAAATAGGATGTTGGTCCCTTGCTTCAAACAGAGTAAGCGCACTGACTTCTGTGCAGTGATGACTTCATCACTGTGCATAAACTCTGAGTGTGTGAGTAGGCCCAGCGTCCTGAAGCGGCCCCGATACTCAGCACTGAACCTGTGGAAGCTTCGCCACTTCCCACCCCCCTGCTGTCTCCACGTAGCCCTTCCACTCCATGGATCAGAAGGCCCTCACTGTCCATTAGCTCTCAGCTTCAATGTCGTTCCTCAGAGCAGTCTTCTGAGGTCCCCCTCTGTTTTTCTTTCTTTTTTATTTTTATCTTTATCAGTACATGTTCACAGTACGTAATGATGGCATTTCTCATGGGGAGCCAGTACAGGTACCTAACACATCTCAATTCTTCTTACTTATCTTTCCCCTTCCTCTACTCTCTTCCTCCATCTCTAGACCCCTTTTCTATTTGCAAAGCCCTGGCTCCCTGTACCCTATGATCTACCTTTTCTTTTGCTCTGGGACCCACCCCTCCCCATCCTGGCCTCAGGGACACTCTCCTAAGTCCAGCCTCAGGGACCGGAGACCCTGAGGATTTCAGACAACTCCCCGTTGTCCCCCGTGACAATTCTGTTTCCCCTTCCCCGGGCTCTGTGTGCTTGGACTTTGCCAGCCTCCTGCTCCATTCTGTCGTAGTCCCCAGCCCTGTTCACCACATCCAAAATACGACAGGGGCTGAACATGTACATATTAAATGCCTATTATTTAAGCATCAAGGGGTGCCCTTGAGAAGGTGATAGATCTTTCCAGTTTAAT